AATTGTGAGCCTGGTCATGGTAACCTGTCAGCCAACTGTGGACCAACAGATGGCAGACAGTCACATGACTGTTGGCCAACTGCTGACCAACAGATGGCAGACAATCACATTGACTGTTGGCCAACTGTTGGTTGATAGTTGGCCAACAATATCTTTTGGGAACTGTTCTTCATTTTAATTTACCTATTTTTTAATCCTTTCTGGATGTGAAAAATATTAAATTATACTAAAGAAATGCTTGGTGAAATACAACTTTCAGACAGGTAACAAATTATGGACAACCAGTCTTTGTATGCATTAAGAGACAGATTTATTTAAGATCGGTGAGAAAACCAGTATCAAGTCTTGTGTTAAAAGAAAACTGCATAGATTACAAAGGTTCCTAGAGGTATATTGTTGATAATGTTTGCTTTGTATTTCTAAAATGTATGTTTCACCCAATTTGTGTTTTGTCATTTTTATTGTTTAGTACTTGACTTCTCTTGGAATGTTGAATCACTGTCAGTATGATGCCATGGCAGGAGAAGCACCCCCTCAGTAAGTAATACGTATTAACTTTTTTAAGGCAGGGCTCAACACTAACTTTTCAACTTACTAGCCAAGTGGCTATAGTGACAAGTTAGATGTTACAACTTACAATTTCAGTTTGTTTACTAGCTAAACTGGCCGGTGGAAATTCAAAACCACCAGCCAAAACCAAACTTCTTCTAATCTGTGGTTAGTTTGCTGCTGTTAATGTCAAGTCCTGTAAGGTGTTTAGAAATTTAGACAAGCATGACAACAAGTTTTAGATTTGGCATTAAATTTCATGTAAAATGTGAAGAAAGTAAAACTTGTTAATATAAGCTACAAAATTTATCCAACGGTTTTTTCAGAAGGGATAGTCAATCCTTTTTAATTCAAAAAGTGAAAGGCATTGGTCGGAAAACCTGTTCATGTTACTTTAATTGACACTTTTTGGATGTTTCCTTATAGTGATGACATCATTAAAAAAATGTAAACGGCATTGTGTACTCCTGTTTTAATTAGTTAATGAAGCAAAGAAGATATAGTTTAATAGTTTGTTTGAAGGGAGAGGGGATTAAGAGAATTAAATTTTGGTCGCCTTTCATTTGTGCACATGTAAATGAAGTCATTTGATTGTCTGGATTTTGAGATACCTTAAACATCTGGTCTTGCAAAAATTGCAATCTGTTATCTCAGATTGCTTTAAAATTTGGAGAATCTTTTATCTTTTTGATTTACCTTAATTCATATAATATACGTATGATGCATGATCTTTGCAGTAGAGAGTGCTATTTATGCAATAGCGAAAATCAGCGAGGATCGTGCATCATACCTATCTATAAGCGCAGTTCAAAATATATGAACTTCATATATTCATCATATCTGATTTATCATCACGGGTTTATTATGAATCAACTTAATGGCCTGCTCCCTAAGTTGGCTTGTTAGCTCAATTGGTAGAGCGCTGCACTAGTATCACAGAGGTCAGTGGTTCGAATCCCGTACAGGCCTGATTTTTTTCAGGTCTGATTTTCACTATTGCATAAATAGCCCTCTCTACTGCATCATACGTATCTATAACCACAGTTCAAAATATATGAACTTCATATATTCATCGTATCTGATTTCATATAATATGTTCAATATCAATTGATAGCTTTGCATTTTTGTTACTATCATATTGATTTTTTTTCATCAGAGTTCTACAAAACCTTACCCAAATCAATATCATCAACTCCCAGAAGGCACTGGGTGACTTGAACTCAGCCGCACATGTCCAACAAGCAGCTATTTGGCAGATCTATGGTAAAAAGTAAGTTTAATCTAGCTATGTTAACTTGGAAGTTTCTATCTCCCAATACCCTCACAGTACCCAGAGTTCTCAGAATCCATCAATTTCAGGGTCCTGAGATCTACTACTTTTCAAACTCTTTAGCTGATTTTCAAAAATCTATTGAGAGTATGGGAAAGTTACTTGAAATTGCTGATTTGTTCCCTGAGTCTTGAAGAGGAATAGTTTGAGTTTCTCTATAGAATAAATACTATAACTGAGTGTCATCTGTTCATGGATCACTTTTGATTTCAGGATAGTTTTATTCTATGTTATACAGCTGTCACAAGGGGATTTCCATCCAACATTTTTCAGTAAAAGGTGTGGAGCCTTAACTCCCATATCAATAAAAAATCAATCAGATGAGTAATGATAATAGGGTAAAAAGAAAATCAGGGGATTATCAGTTGCTCCAATACCAAATTCTCCAAACTTACATCATAAGAACTGTATGGCAGGCAGTAAGGAGAATTTCTATTGAGATCTTGGCAGTGAAAGGGTTGAGGGTTGTACAATATACACCAGTAAGAGAATGCCAAAATGCACCACTAGCAGCTAACCATCATGCTTCGTGTCATATAGCAAAGCCTAAACATCCAACCTCATTGCCTGAAAAAATACCTTGACTCTATGCAAGTGATAGTGACTCTTAATGCGTAAACATTAATTGATGATCTTAACCCTCATGAACAAACACATCTTGTCATTCTCTTCACTGTTATGCACATTGTCTTTTTTTTTTTCTTCAGTTGTATTGCAAGTATCTTCACCCAGTTTGCACTCCATCAAAACACTTCAGCCAGCAGTGACTTAATGACATCTGTTAGTAGAGGTACAGCTGGGATACAAAGTGCAGAAGCCACTTGTCTGTCACTGTGTAGTCTTGCAGAACAACATGCTGACAGAGTAAGCTTACCTGTATGAATTTTTATGAAATCTCCTAGATGATTTTGTTGAAAAAGAGCCAAATATAAGCAGGAAAGATCTTACATTTGATACCCATTTTCTAGCACAGAGGAAACTTATTTCTGGAGAAGGCTTTTGGGCCTTTATAATTTGGCTTTCCCCCTCTAGGTATTTTTTTGGGATTTACCTGCCTGTCAAACTCACGATTTTTAACCAGTTTGTTGCTAATCATGAGTGATTTTTGTCCTTAATTCTATTATTTTCTTGCCTCTCAGCAAGCTCCCCTATACACCTAAAAAATGAAAAATAGCCACCTAACAAACAGACAGTTATTTTCACAACAAAAGACATGTCTTAGTAAGTCATTCACTTACAGGTGATAAGCAGCTGGAATAGTCTATTTTATTCCACGTGCTCTTCCAGTTACCTTTTTCTTTTTTTAAACAAGGTGAAGAAAATACCTGAAAGGTTAGTTCACCTCCTAACTCATGTGTTTGTTGTTGCAGGGAATGTTTCAAGAGGCCTCAGACATTCTATCATTTTGCAGAATAAAGTTTCCCGCACATTCAAAATTATCTCAGGTGAGCAGAATCTCTTCAAATAGCTGACTGTAAAATTAGCCCATAGTTGTTCAATAAAGCATAATTGTCGCAAGTCTTTGATACTTCGCTTTAAAGCCTGAAATCCAGCTTATGAATCTTTGGTCTTTTTTCCACTAGTTATTTCATTTTAGCAGCAAGGAATTTGAGTGTAAAACTTTTCATTTCTACCCCGTGCTCTTTTATGTCTTTTCTGTGTGTGTGTGTGTGTGTTTGTGTGTGTGTTAACAGCTATGGATGACGACTGAAGCTGTCATAGATCACAACAGAGCATTACTTCAAGGTGACATGAAGAGGGCAATAGCATGTGTCGAACAATTAGCAGCGCTAGATGAACCCGAGGCAGAGTATAGGTAATTTGGTTTTATTAACTGAGTTCATGAAGAAAATGTAAATTGGCCACTGTGAAGAGTTTAAAAGCTGACGTTTCGACCGTTAACCCTTGACGTTAGAGAGAATGACGAAGGGCTAACGCTCAAACATAATTTGACGAACGGTACTGCTTCTGAACAGGCCATCATTGTAGGCAATTATTTACGTGTCTTTTGAGGTCTCTTGGCCAATTAAAAGGAAGAAAAATGAATTTAGTCATGATAGAGGTTATCTTTCTCTCTTTTAGGTCCGCTTTGAATTTGCTTCATTTAGGAGATTACACCACAGCATTTCCCAGGTTACAGAAGTTACTTGAAAGCTCAAGGTAACAGTATAAATTAAGTGAAACTGACACAACCTGCGGTAACGAGGATAGTTGAAAGTGTTACATCTCTAAACAGGGACTTACTGATAATTTTAGGGTTCGTGTCAGGACAATATGACCCTCTCAAAAATGACTTTAAAAAGTAAACATTTAGCATCCATTTTGGTCTCCCTCTTGCACCCTAATATCAGTATGCATATTCTCTGTACTCCTCTCTACGCATTTCCTATGAGGCTGACAAGGAGAATTGTTTAACAATCAAAAACGTGTTAAGTTGGTGATCATTTCTTTTACCCTCATTTAGCAATGTTGCTGTTTTGAGATATTAGTTTCCAGTCACCCTCATGCGTTAAAGAAAGGTCTATCTGGGGCCCTTACCGAGGAAAGTTAAATGCAATGTATCGTTCTTTAATCGCTCTGATGAAGGGCTCACGCTTCGAAACATTAGCTTTAGAAACTCTTTACGGTGGCCAATTTACATTATCAACTCAGATGATAAAACCAAATTGTACCTTGTTATACCCTCCAACGACGCAGCACTACAGTTTCTTTAGAGACGTACCTCCTTAGTTTAAGTATATCAACTTTTTACAACTGAACAGAATTTAAATTTGAATGCGTCTTCGATTTTGAAAATCCTTTGGACTCAAAATGATAGTATGTTTGGCTTATTCCAGAGACAAGGTATTCTTAAATGACGGAAAGAAATCAGCTGCTGAATACAAAGCAAGGTATTGTGAAATCTTCTTTTTCAAGTGCCATAACGAGTACATACATACATACGTAAGTTAATTGACCACTCCCCATAGGGGCTTTTCAGGGCCAACACCCACCCATCCCGCCCAGGGAAGGACATCCACCATACAGTAATCTCGTGTGTGGGAAATTAACGTCTCCTACCCCTAACCCTGCAGGAGACAGGGCCTACGGTCTATTCGTCCTTATCCGAAAAGACTAGAATATCTATCCGTTTCTTG